TAATCAATATGTTGAGATTCGAGACTTTTTGCAAAGCTGGCAAATTGTCATATAGCCGACAAAGCAGATAATGGAAGTTGCAGCCTAACGATTTGTTTTCAGAGCCAAAATCGTCGCACTCAAGTACACTGTTTATACGTAAAGCAGAAAGCTGAAAGTACTTGGGTAAGATTATCCGAAGCTAAGAACTAAGACATTTATTATAAATATTTCCTTACCTTTCCCGGAATGGGAGGAGAAAAGAAGTCGCCTTCGGTAACTAACGATGCTATCATCAATACAGCAAATACAACGGTTAACTGGTTCTTGACGTTCTTCATTGTTTTAAGACAACGAAAGCTTTAACACTGAGCAGTTTGGAAATGTCGTCTCCGATTTCATAAGGCAGAGAATATTGGTTTTATATATATTTTACATTGCCATTATCACGACATCTACCATCCGTCCTACATTTCATTAAAATGAACGTTTAATGACATTAAGACAAACAAAGTACAAGTGAGGTCGAGTAATTAAAAAAGTGACACTCGGCGCATCGGCTCCTGCTAAGCGACATGACGTCCCAGAAAAACCTCGTCTGATTTTCCCTTTTTTTGTTTATGTTTTTGTTTTTTGTCTTTTATTTTTTGTTTGTTTTTTTTCCATTTCTAATTTCCTAATAAGAGGATAATGGGGATTTGCCGTGCTGAGAGACGCCTTGGCTGTAAGAATATGGAGCAAGAGTAGCTCATGTGACTCCATGGAAAAAGGAAGCGGGAACGCTTGAAGACAAAGAACGGCTGGCAGCCATCCACTGAGCAGACCAACCATGGATCATAACATGAAACCTTAATCGGGAAACTATGATTCAGATAAACACAACTTTTGAGTAATAAAACGAACCACAGGTAAACCAAAACTAGTAAGCCTCTTTACTTCACTCTTGGTCATTTCATAAATGAACTCTGACGTTATCATTTCTATTGGGTTGTGCTTCAGTCTTCCTATCCGTAATTGGAGAATACATCAGTGAATAATGGAGCGGTCAATTCAATCCTTGTCTCATGACCGCTTTGTCGCCAACGCATTTTACGCAAGGAAAATATGGGCATGGCAAAAACGGCTAAGTTAAAACTGTGTCATAGCGCTGACCTAGATTTCACACCTAAAGATATTTGTTTTCCACAATAAGGTAATTTTATATAGTCGCACTCAAAACCATTTCATTGAAAATATCTTTATGATTCTATTTTGCACAAAGTTTTTATATCAACTTGTCCCTAATACACTCACGAAAATAGGAAAGAGTTTAACGTTATGACCTGCTAAGTGAAAAAGTGAATACTGACATTAATGTTAGTAGTAATTCGTTACGACAAACCCAAGTCAATTTGTCTACCCTCTGCTTTTTAGGTAATGCTTAGAAGTAATGGAGCTTTATTAAATCGAAAAATACCTTACGAGGTTAATTGAGGAAGAGGCCGGACCCACCCTTCTTCCGCGTTCCTCGCTCGACAGGCAACCGAAACAAAGTCTGCTAATAAGTTCCCTCCTCCCTTCACCCCACTTACCTGCCCTCAACCACCACCCTCAAAAGTCAAATATATTCCTTTTACTCAGGTTGTTTTTTTCTGGCTCACAGTCGTTTTGAAAATGAGCCTTCACAGTCGTATCATAGGTTTTGTATTATTTATTATCTAGCTAAAATCAAATTATATAATATTGTATGGTAATTTACGTTCTGCAGTGCTGGCAAAAAATCCTTTAACCAAGACCAAGAGAACATTCTCTCGCTGAAACAAATATTCTAATCGATAATAATTTTGTTCTTTGCTAGTTTCCAAATAACCCTTTACATTCCTTTGAACGTTTCGTCAAAATTGCCATATGCTTCTCGTTACAAGGTAGATGTTTGTAAAAAAAATTTAATTTAAAAAGAAAAAACGCATGAATGTAAAAATGTAGAAGATCAGTAAGCAAGGAGACAAACACTAAAACTCCAGTGGGGGAATTCTCTGATAATGGCTTTATATATGGGAAGGCTGCTCCAGAGAGGTACCTTTTTCACTCTTTATTCAATTATATGAAAGAGTAGAGAAATCTCTTATTTCGGTCTGTAAAAGGACTCAAAAGGCCTGTGAGATGCTTTTATGTCGTTTATGGCTGTGAAAAAGTATAAGAAACAAAAAAGATAGATATTAAAGATAAAGCATTTAAAGAAGTTAAAATTTGGCTGCATAAACGTGAGAGTTTGCAAAGATGTGCAATGCTTTTAGCGTGAACCACTCAAAACAGTTTTTTAATTAACGCCCTATAAAAGGTCAGAAACCCAGATGCCATTTTTACCTGAAACTCAGGGGCCTGAAATCCCAACTGATTCAGACACTATTCACACACCGCGAACATATGGTTGATGTGCTAGCTGCAATTCTAGTTTATGTTCGTTTAATTGAGGTGAGAAACAGCACTAGTTTATTAACCAGAAACCAGGTAATATTCTTATGAACGACAAAAGCTAGAACCCTTTTCTTAAAAGTAGTCGTAAACTGAGATGCGGGAACTCAAAAAGACCAATGACCATTTGTTGAAGGATCGACCCGCTCGCCTCATACACATGGTTATATCTTAAACATGCAAAGTTTCAATGTGTTCTCTTTTCAGTTTCTCGATCAGATAAATTAACCGTAATATGAAAAAAATAAATTGGACTCGTGCAAAGTGTAATCTTGTTCCGCACATGCCGAGAAAACAAAATAGCGGCCGTGAAGAAATAGTATCGGGTTTCTCAAGGCAGCTTTTGAGGGCCATCACCTGAATCAGGCTACATTTAGCTGCTGGGTATATGAGAATAACAAACTCGAACATCAGTTCACAACTCTTCACTTTACTTGACAGATACCCCAATTACCGTATTTAGACATTTTTATCCCCTGCCCGAAATACAACCACGAAAATAAGAAAGAGTATAACTGAGGTTAGACCGTGACTTGCTGACTTAAAAAGAGACAATGATATAGAAATTCTTTATTACCGCAAACCCGAGTCTGTCAATTTGTCAACTTTCTGCTGCTTATAAGGTAATGGAGATTACTGTATAGAAAATGCCTTGCATAGTTCTAATTAGGTTCAAAGCCTTCCAATCTTATCGAAATTCTCAAAATTTAAAACTAAGATTTTGCCCTTCCAAGGGATTTTACTTACTCTTTGAGAAAAAAAAAAAATATATATAAAAACGAAAACTCGCACGAGGCGTCTTGCGATTGTTTACCTACCAGCGTGCGGCCGGCGTGAGCGCTGTTCGGTTTCATCAGGAGCCTTTATTTCCCCTATACTAGTGATTATCGCTAAGTAACATAAAACTCTGCATTAATACTGCTGCCTTTTTCCAATTCCAGCTGGCCTTTCTAATTGAGGAAGACCACACTAAGAGTTGTCTAAACTAAAGTTAAGCAAATTAAATTGGTCCTCAAGAACACAACTAAATTTTCTCCTCAACTGTGGTGTGTAATTGTGACCTTTACGTGTGATTGCCTAAGGTTCTGGCAAATTATGTTGTTTTCGTCTTTCATTTTCCTCGACCCAAACGATTGATGCTGTCTTGAATTGAACTTGTCTGAATCCAAGGCAATTTTGATCAATCGCTTTCACCGCAATGACACAAATGCAGTGTTTAGTCTTTTAAAAACCTTTAAAAACATCGTAAACAGTCATGCAGAGAGAAGATTTTTTCAATTAAAGTGAGAAATCAGGACCAGTGTTTGATTGAAAACAAATTCAAATAAGAGAATTTTATAGCTGAAAAAACAGTGAGTTTTTTCAGGGTTTTTTTCATGTTAATGTTGAAGTACTTTTCGCATCCTTTCTTACACTGCAATTAAAATCCTACGTAGTCGTCACGATCAATTCAGGGATCCCGCCGGGCTGGCCTGCAAATATTGATCGACCCGCTGACTAATGGGCTTTGAAGACGGAAATTTAGTTTCGTTAATTTAACTACCGTAAAGAATGCCGTGTTAAGGGTGCAGGTGGTTCGTACCAGTTTTTACTTGTTTCGACGGCTTAACCTTGAAAGGAAAGAACAATAGCAGCGTAGTTTTGTAGAGTTGATTATGCAAGAGCGCTTGATTTGATTCATTTTCTTTTTTCGACATAAGCGGTTACCATGGCAACCTATTTGAAGAATTATCTAGACCCTCCTTTTAGCATCCAGCAAACAAGTAATTCCCGCTTTTTCTTTTCTTTTTTCTTTTTTTTTTAGACTGTAACGTTTGGCATACAGGATGATTTCGGTGAACTTTTTGTAAAGTGAAAAACAGGACATAATTGCGAAATTGGAAATGTTTTCCCGTTGAATTTTTACTCTTTTCTAGGACGTTTCCTCATAACTCTAACAAATTATTAATTGACGCAATAAAAAAAGTGAGTCATCGGACTTGTTTTCCTGTAAAATGCTTCAAGATTTCAAAAAATGCCACCCGCCTTTTTGTGCTTGTAAAATCTGAACTCTATAAGATCACGGTTTACTCATGCGCTGTCTTGACTGCCACTGAATGTCAGTGTGCTCTTGCTTACAGAGCTTGCAGGGTAGGGAAGCAGAAGAACACACGAAGAGTAAGGACGTCAGTATAGGAGACTACAGGCTAGCCGGCCGGCCATGTTTTCATCAGGAACAAGAAACCATTAGGCTAAAAAGGAAAACAAGAAAACAACATTGCAAGGAAAATCATTCATTATGCTTTCGAGTTTAACTCGTGTTTTTGAATCGCCGAAGAGCATGATAAATTGTTTCTTCTGCAATAAAACTAATGCATAATTAGATTCTATTTCACCACATCCTTTAACCTTAATTAAGGCAGTTAACGGACGGTAATTTTTTAAACATGGAAGGTTTAATGCTGTGTAATGCCGTCATTAAGACGGGAGAAATTTATATATAAGGGCTTCTAAGTTCCTCTCTTTACAAAGAAAGAGTTTTCCAAGTACAGATAAAAGCACTGCTGTATTTCCTATTGTCTTGGAAAATGAAGTGCCAGTTTATCTTTGCTTTTGCAGCACTTTTGATGATAGCATCGTTGATTATAGAAGGCGATTGCTTTGATACCATGCTTAAAGGAAAGGTAATATACTGGAACGAAAACGTTCTAATACGACTTGGAACCAACCGATTTACTAAAAAAAACAACGCACGGGGCTAAGTGTGAAAATGAGATTTATTTGCATGAGAATCATTTTTATATTATTTTATAGCTTCGCACTTAGCCCCGCTTTGAAACAGAGGTCTTGAGCATTGTAACTCGGAAATAGCCCACTGTGACACAAACAAAAAGCAAGGGGCACACATACACCAACCCTCGGCCTGGCCAGTACCTCAAAGATGCACAACGCCATATCCCCGGGCAGTGGCAGACATGGATAGCCGTTTCCATGTCTCATATAGACAGAGGTATTGATTTGATATTTTACCTGATTTTGTCATTTTTTTTCTTTTTTTACCCCTAACAACTCAATCAGAGGACAATGTAGATTTGCCGTGCAGCAAGAAGCCTTGGCTGCAGGAATATAGAACAAGAAGTGGCTGATGACCCCATGAAAGAAGGAAGGGCTCGTCGACGTGAAGTAAAAGAGAGGAGTTTTCTGTTGTGTCTAGTTGTGTTTTCAATTGTGTCTTGTGTTTTTTATTGTGTCTTATTGTGTCTGTCATTATACATTACTATTCGGGCGAGAGAGGAAGTTCACGAAAAAGAGATTAAATAGCATTTCTTGATTTTTTTGCAAAGACACAAGAAGCTCGAGAATTGATCAAAAATCGTGAGTTATACCTCTATGTATCACGCGATCGCCTGTCTCACTGTACCAAAAATTATCATATCTCGGTGAGCATTCGGAAGTCAGCCAAGCGCGGTCATTGCATGCGTGCTGAACAAGAATGCTGTATCATGACAGACTAGACACAATAGAAAACTCTCAAAGCACAAACTCAGCCAAAACTCTAAAAATCTTCCATGTTTACTCAAGTTTCGGCTTATAGAAGATACTGTCACAGTTTTTCAATGACCATGAAATTCATAATCTGGGTAGGTAGTTAATCAGTTGTGGCCCTGAAAAAAATTGAAGGAAAAAAAACTACGAGTTTTTAAGAAAATGCTTTTTTCGTGAGAAGGACTCCTAAACGCTGACAAACTTCAACAAATAGCTAAAACTATGATTTCTATATGTTTGCATTGTTCGAAATCACGCGCATTTATAAGGCCCTAAAACTTTTTGCTGACTTGTAATGACCCATCTGTCATAGGATCCCCAAAATAAAGGGATAAATCTCATAGTTTCTTAGATCAAGAGAGAATGATCTTGCTCATTCTCTCTTGATTAGATATAATCGTAAAAAGTTTGCTTATCATTTTCACATAAACTATGACCTAAATTTGGAAACCGCTGAATTTCTCTCATTTGGTCTTTGCTATTTTGGTGAAATTTGGTCAACGCAAGGCATTAATGCGAACTATACGAAGCGAAAAAATGCCGACAACAGCAGACTTCCGTCTCAGACCCCAAAGAGGCCTGGCACTATAACCACGTAACATTTACTCCGATGGCCAAAAACTTTATGCTATATTGTACATTGATCAAAATGTTATCCATGCTATATGTTAGACTTATGATCAAAGTAAAGGTGGGGATACCAGAGAGCTTCAAAGTAGGATGGTATCCTCACAAAATAACTGGGTCGAGTCACCTTAATAGCTTCGCACTTAGCCCCTCTTTGAAACCGCCTTGAGCAACGTAACTCGGAAATAACCCATTTCCCTGACACAAACAAAAAGCAAGGGAAACACATAAACCAACCCTCGGCCTATCCAGTACCTCAAAGATGCACACCGCCATATCCCAGGGCAGTGGCAGCCATGGGTAGCTGTTTCCATGCCTCTTATAGACATAGGTATTGACTTGATATTATACATGATTTTGTCAATTTTTTTCATTTTTACCCCTAACAACTCAATCAGAGGACAATGCAGATTTGCCGTGCCGCAAGAAGCCTTGGCTGCAGGAATATAGAACAAGAAGTGGCTGATGACCCCATGAAAGAAGAGAGGGATCGGCGTGAAGTAAAAGAACACTGATGACAGCCATCCAATGATCGGACTAACCACGGATTTAAACATAAAATATAAATGTCAACTGTAACATTCGAACAAGAAACTGTAAATCGTAGAAAGTGCGATAGTTAATGAATAAAAACGATTAATGGTGAACTTTTTCCTGGGCTTCTTTATGAGTCAGAGAATGGTTAGTTCTTAGTCGGCAGATTTTAAAAAGTCCTACCGGTAAAATACGGTTGTAAGCTTCGCCCCACCCTACTTCCGCGTTCTTCGCTTCACAGGGCAATCGACAGGCAAACGAAACAACAAAGTCCGCTTATTTGTTCCTCTATTAGACACTCGGAATGGTTCGAAGGAAATTAATGTCACGTCATCACTTACTTATGAGCAATTTTGATCGTACGAGATCTCCCTTCAAGCTCAATTTTGAGCAACAAGAACATCAGAAACAATATCTTTTTTTATGCCAAGTTGTAGCATAGTAAATGTAGTTTCACCTGTGAAAGCCGATTCACATATCACAACTTAGTTTTTCGGACATTTAGGGGGATTCTCGGGCTGGTCAATGTAAATCCGCCCCTGAAAACGCCTTTCGATTGAGCTTTGTTCACTAAAATGCTGAAATATTTGGTTCCATACCCCCAAGAAAACAAAACTTGGCTTAAATAATCTTCCAGTCACTTTTATCAAATATACATTTCACTTTAACAATAGACAGCAATTCTGCTCATTTTTAACTCTTCAAAACTCGATGTCCTGCCAGCACCATTTCATAAATTGGATTTCAACCGCACGACCTTCACCCCACTTTTTGTATATTACGGAACACCATGGCCATAAAAAGGTACCAAATTTTGACAGCAGATAGTGTATACATGAAATAGTTACTCATTGATTGGAATTTCCATATCAAAAACGAACACAAAAGTCTCAAGGGTTGGAACCCAAATTTCAATTTTCACGAAGATTAAACTTAACTTAATAAATCCTAGCCTAATCCTTGCTGCAAAATCACAAGGATTAACGCCAAACGACAGCTGTACCCAGAATATGAAACAATAACTTTATTACAATCCTGGACTCGAATTTAAAGAAGAAATGACGAAAACTGAGCTCTTAATCGGCACTTTGATTTTAAAATGCGAATAGCGTGGCTTTTTCGCCTGCAGTATGACAAGACGAGAAAAATTTAGAATACAAGGGCTAGGAACCACGTAATGCATTGTACTTACCACAACAGACCTTCTCCTTTTTGTTAGCGTCGATTAAGTCCTGAGGAACCGCCTTGGGCCACGTAAAAATGACTCCAAGATTGTTCGCCAAAGCATTGTTGTGGTGAGATCGCCATCTTTGTTGATACTACGTGTCTACAAGTAGAGCTTTATCGACCGAAAACATACCGTAAAGAACTTGAAACATGCTTTTCTGTCTTCGCGTTGAGTTTTTTTAATGTTAATGTCCTTTACCTGGCTTACCGACGACCTGTTGAAGGATAATCGGCTCCTTCGAAGTTGAGGTGATCAATTTCTGCCGCTCAAATTTGCCTGTTCTGTGAAAAGTACGAAAACCCGAGAAAAGTTCGAGCATGCGCAGACAAAAGTCTCCTTTGTGGTTTGGCTCAAGTGTTTGGCTAAGTTTGGCTGCAATTGATATTCTGCTCATGCGTAAATGAAACCACGCTTTTCTCCTTCTTGTGATCGCTCTTGCGTAAAAATGGCAGATCGCTTCGTTTCCCGAAGATATTCATTAAAAAGCAAATTTGGTGATCGAATCAGTGATAAAACAGATCAATCATTTGCTTCAGCCTTCGACTTTGGCAAATAATTGATCTGTTCGCCACTGAGAGTTCACGATATTTCGCTCAAATTCATTGAATAATTGTTAATTTACCAAGGTTGGGATATGGTGTGCAAAAGTACAGTCTAAATATTCAGTGGCTGTATAAACGTGTGAGTCTACAAAGATTTGCAATGCTTTTAGCGTGAACCACTCAAAACAGTTTTTTAATTAACGCCCTATTAAAGGTCAGAAACCCAGATGCCATTTATACCTGAAACTCAGGGCCTGAAATCCCAACTGATTCAGACACTATTCACACACCGTGAACATATGGTTGATATGCTAGCTGCAATATAGTTTATGTTCGTTTAACTGAGGTAAGAAACAGCACTAGTTTATTAACCGGAAACAAGGTAATATTCTTATGAACGATAAAAGCTAAAACCCCTTTCTTAAAAGCAGTCGTAAACTGAGATGCGGAAACTAAAAAGACCAATGACCATTCGTTGAAGGATGGACCCGCTGGCTTAACACACATGGTTATATCTTAAATATGCAAAGTTTCAATGTGTTCTCTTTTCAGTTTCTCGATCAGATAAATTAACCGTAATATGAAAAAAATAAATTGGACTCATGCAAAGTGTAATTGTTTTGCACATGCCGAGAAAACGAAATGCCAGCCGTGAAGAAATAGTATTGGGTTTCCCAAGGCGACTTTTAAGAGGGCCAGCACCTGAATCAGGCTACATTTAGCTGCTGGGTATATGAGAATAGCAAACTCGAACACCAGTTCACACCTCTTCACTTTACTTGACATGCAGATACCCCAATTATTAATTTAGAAATTTTTATCCCCAGCCCGAAATACAACCACGAAAATAAGAAAGAGTATAACTGAGGTTAGACCGTGTCTTGCTGACTCAAAAACAGACAATGATATAAAAATTCTTTATTACCGCAAATCCAAGTCCGGTCCGTCAATTTGCCAACTTTCTGCTGCTAAGAAGGTAATGGAGATTTACTGTATAGAAAATGCCTTGCATAGTAGGTTAAAAGCCTTCCACTTTTATCAAAATTCTCAAAATTTAAAACTAGGATTTTCCCTTTCCAAGGGATTTTACTTCCTCTTCGACAAAAAAAAAAAAAAAAAAATTATATATTTATATATATATATATATATATATATATATATATATATATATATATATATATATATATATATATATATATATATATATATATATATATATATATATATATATATATATATATATATATATATATATATATATATATATATATATATATATATATATATATATATATATATATATATATATATATATATATATATATATATATATATATATATATATATATATATATATATATATATATATATATATATATATATATATATATATATATATATATATATATATATATATATATATATATATATATATATATATATATATATATATATATATATATATATATATATATATATATATATATATATATATATATATATATATATATATATATATATATATATATATATATATATATATATATATATATATATATATATATATATATATATATATATATATATAAACTAGCACGACGCGTGTTGCGATTGTCCACCTACCAGCGTGCGGCGGGTTTCATCAGGAGCCTTTATTTCCCCTATACCAGTGATTATCGCTAAGTAACATAAAACTCTGCTTTAATACTGCTACCTTTTTCCAATTCCAGCTGGCCTTTCTAATTGAGGAAGACCACACTAAGAGTTGTCTAAACTAAAGTTAAGCAAATTAAATTAGTGTTCAATAAGGCGGTAGCATGATTGACTAACTATACTACCTTGCGCCTTTAACTAGCAAGTATCAGTTTCTGAAAGAACACAACTAAATTTCTTAATATTTTCTCCTCAACTGTGGTGTGTAATTGTGACCTTTACGTGAGATTGCCTAAGGTACTAGCAAATTATGTTGTTTTCGTCTTTCATTTTCCTCAACCCAAACGGTTGATGCTGTCTTGAATTGAACTTGTCTGAATCCAAGGCAATTTTGATCAATCGCTTTCACTGCAATGACACAAATTCATTGTTTAGTCTTTTAAAAAGATTTTTTCAATTAAAGAGAGAAATTAGGACCAGTGTTTGATTGAAAAGAAATTCAAATAAAATAATTTTATAGTTGAAAAAACAGTGAGTGTTTTTAATGTTAATGTTAAAGTAATTTTAGCATGCTTTCTTACACTGCAATTAAAATCCTTCGTGGTGGTCAAGATTAATTCAGGGATCCCGCCGGGCTGGCCTGCAAATATTGATCGACCCGCTGACTAATGGGCTTTGATGACGGAAATATAGTTTAGTTGATTTAAGCAAAGTACCAAGCTGTTTGAAAAAAATCCACTTTTCAGTATAAAACAACCAAATCTGTCTATTTCATGTAAAATCCAGTGAAAAACTTGGTAAAAGGCCATTTTTAGGTTTTTTGATTAATTTGAAAGGAAAGAACAAATGAGCAAGCCAAAGCCATAGCAACACAGCGACAGGGTGATTTCGGTGGATTTTTTGTAAAGTGAAAAACAGGACATAATTGCGCCTAGTGGAAATGTTTTCCCGTTGAATTTTTACTCTTTTCTCGGACATACGTTTCCTCTTAACTCGGACAAAATATTAATTGACGCAATAAAAACAGTGGGTCATCGGACTTTTTTTCTTGTAAAATGCTTCAAGATTTCAAAAAATGCCACCCGCCTTTTTGTGCTTGTAAAATCTGAACTCTATAAGATCACGGTTTACTCATGCGCTGTCTTGACTGCCACTGAATGTCAGTGTGCTCTTGCTTACAGAGCTTGCAGGGTAGGGAAGCAGAAGAACACACGAAGAGTAAGGACATCAGTATAGGAGACTACAGACTAGCCGGCCGGCCCTGTTTTCATCAGGAACAAGAAAGCATTAGGCTAGAAACGAAACCAAAAAACCAACATTACAAGAAAAATAATTCATCACGCTTTCGAGTTCAACTCGTTTTTTTGAATCGCCGGAGAGCATGATAAATCATTTCTTCTGCAATAAAACTAATGCATTGTTAGATTCTATTTCACCACATCGTTTAAACTTAATTAAGGCAGTAAACGGACGGTAATTTTTTAAACATGGAAGGTTTAATGCTGTTTAATGCCGTCATTAAGACGAGAGAAATTATATATAAGGGCTTGCAAGTTTCTCTCTTTACAAAGAAGGGTTTTTCTAAGTACAGGTAAAAGTACTGCTGTATTTCCTATTGTCTTGGAAAATGAAGAGCCAGTTTATCTTTGCTTTTGCGGCTCTTTTGATGATAGCATCGTTGATTTTAGAAGGCGATTGCTTTACTGGCCCTGTTCAGGGGAAAGTGGCAAAGGTAATATACTGGAACGAAAACATTCTAATACCACTTAGACAATTATTTCCAACCGATTTACTAAAAAAGAGAACGCACGGAAAAAGCATATAGGATAAGCCATTTCCGATTTTCTAAAACTCTCACCTTCAAAACGAGGACACGTGTAAAACCTTTCCTGTGAAAATGAGATTTATTTGCATGAGAATCATTTTTATATTATTCAAGGTGACTCGACCCAGTTATTTTGTGAGGGTACCATCCTACTTTGAAGCTCTCTGGTATCCCCACCTTTACTTTGATCATAAGTCTAACATATAGCATCGATAACATTTTGATCAATCTACAATATAGCTTAAAATGTTTGGCCATCGGAGTAAATGTCACGTGGTTATAGTGTCACGCCTCTCTGAGGTCTGAGACGAAATTCTGCTGTTGCCGGCATTTTTTCTTGAAAATCTTTCGACTGCATATACTTCGCATTAGTGACTCAGTTACGTTGACCATAGTTTCACCAAATCACAAAGAACCAATGCGAGAAATTCAGCGGTTTCCAAATTTAGGTCATAATTTATGTGAAAATGATAAGCAAACTTTACACGATTATATCTAATAAACTATGAGATTTATCCCTTTATTTTGGAGATCTTTATAACAGATGGGTCCTTGCAAGTCAGCAAAAAGCTTTAGGGCCTTGCAATGCGCGCGATTTCGAGAAAAGCAAACATATAGAAATTATAGTTTTAGCTATTTGTTGACGCTTGTCAGCGTTTGGGAGTTCTTCTCACGAAAAAAGTATTTTCTTAAAAACTCATAGTTTTTTTCCTTCAAATTTTTTCAGGGCCACAATTGATTAACTAACTAGCCGGATTCTGACTTTCATGGTCATTGAAAAACTGTAATATTATCTTCTATAAGCCCACACTTGAGTAAACATTGAAGACCGCTGAACCGCTCAATTTCTCGCATTGGTTCTTTGCGATTTAGTGAAACTCTGGTCAACGCAAGGCACTAATGCGAACCATATGCAGCCGAGAGATTTTAACGAAAAAATGCAGGCAATAGCAGAATTTGGTCTCAGACCCCAAAGAGGCGTGGCACTATAACCACGTGACATTTACTCCGATGGCCAAACATTTTATGCTATATTGTAGATCGATCAAAAATGTTATCCATGCTATATATTAGACTTATGACCAACGTAAAGGTGGGGATACCAGAGAGCTTCAAAGTAGGATGGTACCCTCACAAAATAGCTGGGTCGAGTCACCTTAATAGCTTCGCGTTTAGCCCCGCTTTGAAACCGCCTTGAGCAACGTAACTCGGAAATTAACCATTTCCGTGACACAAAAAAATAAGCAAGGGGCACACGTACACCAACCCTCGGCCTGGCCAGTACCTCAAAGATGCACACCGCCAGATCCCCGGGCAGTGGCAGCCATGGATAGCTGTTTCCATGCCTCTTATACACACAGGTATTGACTTGATATTTTGCCTGATTTTGTCAATTTTTTTCTTTTTTACCCCTAACAACTCAATCAGAGGACAATGCAGATTTGCCGTGCAGCAAGAAGCCTTGGCTGCAGGAATATAGAACAAGAAGAGGCTGATGACCCCATGAAAGAAGGGAGGACTCGACGTGAAGTAAAAGAGAGGAGTTTTCTATTGTGTCTAGTTGTGTTTTCTTTTGTGTCATGTGTTTTCTATTGTGTCTAGTCTGTCATGACTTACTATTCGGGTGAGAGAGGAAGTTCACCGAGAAGAGATTGAGTAGCATTTCTTGATTTTTTTGCAAAGACACAAGAAGTTCGAGAATTGATTAAAAATCGTTAGTTATACCTCTATGTATCACCCGATCGCCTGTCTCACCGTACCAAAAATTATCATATCTCGGTGAGCATTCGGAAGTCAGCCAAGCGCGGTCATTGCATGCGTGCTGAACAAGAATGCTGTAACATGACAGACTAGACACAAGAATAGAAAATTTCCAAAGCACAAACTCAGCCAAAACGCTAAAAATCTTCAATGTTCACTCAAGTTTGGGCTTATAGAAGATAATGTCACAGTTTTTCAATGACCATGAAATTCAGAATCCGGGTAGTTAGTTAATCAATTGTGGCCCTGAAAAAATTTAAAAGAAAAATCTACGAGTTTTTAAGAAAATGCTTTTTTCGTGAGAAGGACTCCCAAACGCTGACAAACGTCAACAAATAGCTAAAACTATAATTTAATTTCTATTTGTTTTGATTGCTCGAAATCGCGCGCATTTATAAGGCCCTAAAGCTTTTTGCTGACTTAAAATGGACCATCTGTTATAAAGATCCCCAAAATAAACGGATAAATCTGATAGTTTATTAGATATAATCGTGTAAAGTTTGCTTATCATTTTCTCATAAATTATGACCTAAATTTGGAAACCGCTGAATTTCTCGCAATGGGTGTTTGCTATTTTGGTGAAACTCTGATTAACGCAAGGCACTAATGCGAACTATATGTAAGCGAGAGATTTTCACGAAAAAACGCCGGCAACAGCAGAATTCCGTCTTAGACCCCAAAGAGGCGTGGCACTATAACCACGTGACATTTACTCCGATGGCCAAAAATTTTATGCTATATTGTAGATTGATCAAAATGTTATCCATGCTATGTTTTAGACTTATGATCAAAGTAAAGGTGGGTATACCAGAGAACTTCAAAGTAGGATGGTATCCTCACAAAATAACTGGGTCGAGTCACCTTAATAGCCTCGCAGTTAGCCCCGCTTTGAAACCGCCTTGAGCAACGTAACTCGGAAATAACCCATTTCCGTGACACAAACAAAAAGCAAGGGGAACACATACACCTACCCTCGGCCTGGCCAGTACCTCAAAGGTGCAAACCGCCATATCCCCGGGCAGTATGGATAGCTGTTTCCATACTTCTCATAGACACAGGTATTGATTTGATATTTTACCTGATTTTGTGATTTTTTTTCATTTTTACCCCTAACAACTCAATCAGAGGACAATGCAAATTTGCCGTACAGCAAGAAGCCTTGGCTGCAGGAATATAGAACAAGAAGTGGCTGATGACCCCATAAAAGAAGGGAGGGCTCGACGTGAAGTAAGAGAACGCTGATGACAGCCATCCAATGATCGGACTAACCGCGGATTAAAACATAAAATATAAATGTCAACTGTAACATTCGAACAAGAAACTGTAAATCGTAGAAAGTGCGATAATTAATGAATAAAAGCGATTAATGGTAAACCTTTATCTGTGCTTCTTTATGAGTCAGACAATGGTTAGTTCTTAGTTGGCAGATTTTAAAAAGTCCTACCAGTAAAATTGCGGTTGTAAGCTCCGCCCCTTCTACTTCGGCGCTTCTCGCTTCACAGGGCAATCGACAGGCAAACGAAACAACAGAGTCCGCTAATAAAATATTCCCTCCTCCCCACTTACCTGCCCTTAACCACCACCCAAAAAAAAGTCAAACATATTCCTTTTACTCAGGTTTTTTTTTTCTGGATCACAGTCGTTTTGAAAATGAGCTGTCAAAGTCGTATCACAGCTTTTGTATTATTTATATTCGAGTTAAAATCAAATTCTAATATTGTATAGCATTTTACGTTCTGCAGTGTTAGCAAAAATCCTTTTGTCCTTGGCATAAGAATTTTTAATTATTACAGCCTCCAAATCCTTCTATTTTAACCAAGACCAAGAGAATGTTTTCATTCTCTCGCTGAAACAAGTATTCTAATCGATAATAATTTTGTTCTTTGCTAGTTTCCCGATAATACTTTTCATTGCTTTGAAAGTTTCGCCAAAAATTGCCATATGATTTTGGTTACAAGGCAGATGTTCGTAAATAAAATTTATTTTAAAAAGAAAAAAGGCATGAATGTAAAAAAGTGGAAGATCAGTAGGTAACCACTGAAAACTAAAGAGACTGGTTACGAATAGCCTGTTCATGATCAAGGGTCTTAAATAGTTTAAGGAGACAAAAACTAAAATTCCGGTAAGGGGATTCTCTGATAATGGCTTTATATACGGGAAGGCTCCGCCCGAAAGAGGTACCTTTTTTCACTCTTCATTCAAGTATATAAAAGAGTAGAGAAACCTCTTATTTCGGTCTGTAAAAGGACTCAAAAGGCCTGTGAGATGCTTTTATGTCTTTTATGGCTGTGAAAAAGTATAAGGAAAAAAAAAGAACCAAAAACCGTTCTGGTCTGTGATTTATTCAGATTTTAAAGGTAGTGCGTTTAAAGAAGTTAAAAGAAGACGCAAATTTCTTTGATAGGTACGTGAAACTGGGAACAATTTGTCAATAGAAGGTATATGAAAAGGGTACCTTTTCTGTGAAAAATGGCATATAAAAGGATAAGGGGTCGGACCCTTCCTGTCAAACTTTGTTGAGTACCCCCCAGGGTTTCAAAGAGTTTCGTGCAGTACCTTTCCATCAAGGTTCCTAGTTAAGCAGTTGCCTCACGTAATCAACTGTCTAATAACACTACCACTGGTCACGAGTCCATCTTTGGGTTCTGAGAAAGTAATGTACGAAACATCTGCCAGAATCTTTGTCAACTTAGACTGCTTTTTATACAGGAAGGGCGTGATCATTGATTATATCATTCATTCGATGCAAATGTTTCTTTCTTTTCATTTGCCGAGAGCCCACCACGTGACCTACAAATATCTGACTACAAATAATGTGTCTGCTCATGTGCAATGTCGTCCAACTATGTTTGGCTAAGTTTGCCTGCGATCGCTCTTGCGTAAAAATGGCAGATCGCTTCGTTTCCCGAAGATATTCATTGAAAAACAAATTCGGTGATCGAATCAGTGATAAAACAGATCAATTATTTGCTTCAGCCTTCCACTTCGGCAATCTGTTCCCCTCTGACAAATCACGATATTTCGCTCATTGACAACATCATCGAATAATTGATAATTCACCAAAGCTGGGATACGGTGTGCACAGGAACAGTCTAAAACTTCAGTGGCTGCATAAACGTGAGAGTTTGCAAAGATGTGCAATGCTTTTAGCGTGAACCACTCAAAACGTTTTTTTTTTTAATTAACGCCCTATTAAAGGTCAGAAACCAAGATGCCATTTTTCCCTGAAACTCAAGGCCTGAAATCCCAACTGATTCAGATACTATTCACCCACCGTGAACATATGGTTGATGTGCCAGCTGCAATTCTAGTTTATGTTCGTTTAATTGAGGTAAGAAACAGCACTAGTTTATTAACCAGAAACAAGGTAATATTCTTATGAACGATAAAAGCTAAAACCCTTTTCTTAAAAGTAGTCGTAAACTGAGATGCGGGAACTTAAAAAGGCCAATGCCCACTCGTTGAAGGATCGACCCGCTGGCTTAATACACATGGTCATATCTTAAATATGCAAAGTTTCAATGTGTTTTCTTTTCAGTTTCTCGATCAGATAAATTAACCGTGATATGAAAAAAATAAATTGGACTCGTGCAAAGTGTAATCTTGTTCCGCACATGCCGAGAAAACAAAATGGCGGCCGTAAAGAAAGGGTATCGGGTTTCTCAAGGCAGCTTTTGAGGGCCATCACCTGAATCAGGCTAAATTTAGCTGCTGGGTAAATGAGAATAACAAACTCGAACATCAGTTCACAACTCTTCACTTTACTTGACAGATACCCCAATTACTGAATTTAGACATTTTTATCCCCTGCCCGAAATACAACCACGAAAATAAGAAAGAGTTCAACTGAGGTTAGACCGTGACTTGCTGACTTAAAAAGAGACAATGATATAGAAATACTTTATTACCGCAAACCCAAGTCCGTCAATTTGTCAACTTTCTGCTGCTTAGAAGGTAATGGAGATTTACTGTATAGAAAATGCCTTGCATAGTTCTAATTCGGTTCAAAGCCTTCCAATCTTATCAAAATTCTCAAAATTTAAAACTAAGATTTTGTCCTTCCAAGGGATTTTACTTACTCTTTGAGAAAAAAGAAAAAATATAAAAACGAAAAACTCGCACGAGGCGTCTTGCGAATGTTTACCCACCAGCGTGCGGCCGGCGTGAGCGCTGTTCAGTTTCATCAGGAGCCTTTATTTCCCCTATACTAGTGATTATCGCTATGTAACATAAAACTCTGCATTAATACTGCTCCCTTTTTCCAATTCCAGCTGGCCTTTCTAATTGAGGAAGGCCACACTAAGAGTTGTCTAAACTAAAGTTAAGCAAATTAAATTGGTCCTTAATAAGGCGGGAGATGACTGATAAATTATACTACCTCGCGCCTTTAACTAACAAGTATCAGTTTCTAAAGAAAACACCTAAATTTTCTCCTCAACTGTGGTGTGTAATTGTGACCTTTACGTGAGATTGCCTAAGGTACTGGCAAATATGTTGTTTTCGTCTTTCATTTTCCTCTATCCAAACGGTTAATGCTGTCCTGAATTGAACTTGTCTGAATCCAAGGCAATTTTGATCAATAGCTTTCACCGCAATGACACAAATTAAATGTATTGTTTAGTTTGTTAAAAACCTTTAAAAGCATCGTAAACAGTCAGAGAGAAGATTTTTTCAATTAAAAAGAGAAATCAGGACCAGTGTATGATTGAAAACAAATTCAAATAAGAGAATTTTATAGCTGAAAAAACAGTGAGTTTTTTCAGGTTTTTTTAATGTTAATGTTGAAGTAATTTTCGCATGCTTTCTTACACTGCAATTAAAATCCTACGCAGTCGCCACGATTAATTCAGGGATCCCGCCGGGCTGGCCTGCAAATATTGATCGACCCGCTGACTAATGGGCTTTGAAGACGGAAATTTAGTTTAGTTAATTTAACTACCGTAAAGAATGCCGTGTTAAGGGTGCAGGTGGTTCGTACCAGTTTTTACTTAATTCGACGGCTTAACTTTGAAAGGAAAGAACAAATGAGCAAGCCAAAGCCATAGCAGCACAGTTTTGTAGAGTTGATTATGCAAGAGCGCTTGATTTAAGGTGGCTCGACTGGATTTTTTTAGGGGGATACCTCCCAAGTTTGAGACAACTACGTCGGCATGAGTAAAGATATGGAAAAAAGGTTACCACAACTGTATTACATAAAGATGAAAATTTCTTATGATCTGGGTTTTATTGCAATCGGAGTCGCCATGGCAACGTAATGACGCCATTACGTTTTTCATTTATCTTTGTGTTTCTCTGTACCAGGAGTTTTTT